ATCGCCGCTGCAAAAACCCCCAAAACGAGTGGGATTTCTGGGCTTTGCTTGGGCCTGGGCTAGGGTGATTTGGGTCTATATTGGTGTGAGAATTTGAATTATTGAGAAATTATGCGCGTGACACGTGTATACATGACTTAATGTAGGCCTATCCATCCGGGCCCGGGCCGGGCAAAATCGGAGCCCGGAGCCGGACGCCGAGTACCGGCCGGCCGCGGGCCGAACGGGTCAGGTTCCGAGGCTGGGGCGGGTTTATTCCTTTTTTTAAAAAAACAATGTATAATTTTTAAATTTTATTTAAGTTTTAAATTATAAAAACAGATGAAAAAATAAAAAATAATAATAATTTTTTATTAATCACTTAAAATGATCATATAATTACATAATAAAATTATAAAATAAATTTTTTATTAATATATTAATAAATGCATTTACAAATTACAATATATAATTTTTATTTGGAATTCTATCGCATCACAATCGATAAGTACATCCAACTAGGTTTTTTTTTAAATTTCTTTCTTTTTTGATAAAAAACATGCTAAAAATTAGTTTAATATTATTATATTTTTATATAAGTATGTATTTAAGTATATACTTTCAATATTATGTAAGCTATATATTATATATACTCATATATATGTAAATTATATGTTATTATTTATAAGTTATAATTTAAGAGAGAGAGAATCGCAATAAGTACCCTGGTAGTCGTGCTCGTTGCCAGAATGGGGATAGAAGTAACCGTTGTAATATACTATACTTATATATACTTATATACAAAGAGAGAGAGTTTATACACACCCACATATATTAAAAAGTATATTTATATAATAGTATAAATACATATAAGAGTATAAATATATATTTATATATCTATACATATATATAAACATAAACTTATATGTACATATATAATTATATATATATAAGAGTATAAATATATATATATATATACATATATATTATACATATATAAGAGAGAGTATACTTGTATATACTTATATAAGAGAGAGTATACATATATAAGAGAGAGTATACTTATATATACATATATACTAAGAGAGAGTATATATATACATACATGCATACATTATACATATATAAGAGAGAGTATTCTTGTATATACTTATATAAGAGAAAGTATACTTATATATACTTATACATATATATACTTATATAAGAGAGAGTATACTTATATATACTTATATACTAAGAGAGAGTATATATATACATACACATATGACATATTATACATATATAGAAATATATTATATAAGAGAGAGTATACATATATAAGAGAGAGTATACTTATATATACATATATACTAAGAGAGAGTATATATATACATACATGCATACATTATACATATATAAGAGAGAGTATTCTTATATATACTTATATAAGAGAAAGTATACTTATATATACTTATATACTAAGAGAGAGTATATATATACACACATATGACATATTATACATATATAAAAATATGTTATATATACATATATTATATATATACATATATTATACATATATAAAAATATATTATATATACATATATTATACATATTATATTTATTTATATATACATATATAATATAATACATAAAAATAAAAAATAAAAAAATAAAAAAAAATAATCCGGCCCTGGCACAAAAGAGCCGGCCCGGAGCCCGGACTTGGCCCGGGTTTCCGGGCCGGGCTCGGGCCGCGAGCTGTTTTAGACAGCCCTAACTTAATGTTTTCTTTGTACGCTCTTTAGCAATCTTAATTGTAATTAAATGCTCTCACATTTGCATAACTGAGAGTATTTAAATATCAAAATTTCAAAACTTTATGATATATAGGTACTAGGGGTGCATTCTGTCCGTATGCGGCTCGGATATGATGCTTACCATATCCATATTCACTTACTCATTTCGGATACGAATACATATGGATATACTTCGGTAATGAAAATTTACAACTATATCCGCTAAAATCGGATACGATTACAGATATACATGCGGATATATAAGCAGATATGCATGCGGATACAAAACAGATATGAGAAAACTAGATAGTATTGGGGAAAACATAGTTCATGTGATACAAAAAAGTTTGTTAATATGTCCATTCTAACTGAAAAGTTAAGATTATACATCTTGATCATCAAAATTAACCACAAATCCATAATCTAATAATCGAAACTATCGTAAGACTATGACTAATATAATATTCGAAGATTTCGGATACGGATACGAATATTTCACTACAAAACCATATTTGTAACCATATCCTATCGGTTATAGATTTGAGTAACCATATTCGTATCTTAGCGGATATGATTACGGATATTTCCTCGGATACGGATACGGTTTAGCACCCCTAATAGGTACTGTAAAAAAACAAGTGAGAAAGTGTAAGTGTGAAGTAGGGGGAACTTTAGGGTATTTATGTGCAATTAAGCCCTTTTTAGCATATGGACGCCTGTGTTTTTTCTAGGAAACAATTAATTTTATGTTTTTAGCTTATCTATATCTATACTATTTCTAAAATCTATACTATTTCTAAAAGAGAAAACAAGTGTCAAAACTTTTGCATACCCATTTTACCCTTTACAAATTACTTAATTCTAAATTTGTCATATGTTTTAACCCTTTTTCCCCAATTACGCCTCTCTTTCTTCCCAACGTCATCCGACTTCTCCCCTACCCCTGCCCCTCTCGGGCCTCTCCCCCTCTCTCTTCGATAATGCCCAACTCTCCTTCTTCCCTTCCTAATCCGCTCTCTCCCCTGCCCCTCTCCCTCTCTCTGTTTTTAAATTAATTCGACATTCGGCCTCCACGCTTCTGATTCCGCCGTTTCTCAATGGCAGCCCCTTCTCCCCTGCGTAATAAGCCGCCGCCATCTCGTCCATCTCCCCAAACCCCAGCCCCTCCAAAACCCTAACCCTAACCTCCTGTTGCTCCTCCTCTTCCTCTCTCCTCGACGCCACGAGATCCAGCATCTCTGTTTGATAAATTTTTAATTTAGCAGTATCTGTTTATGCATTTGCTCCTCTACAAATGTTGGTGAATATAATATACTTGAGCTAGAGAGATATTGATTGATGTTTCCTGTTTCATTTTTTAAGAGCTTTGATCAGAACAAGAGAGAAATGGTTCGGTTGGATGACTTCATATCCCTATATATATTTGTACAGTCAGCAAGGTATGCATACTCTGATATATAGGATTGAGTCATCTATAAGATCTGTGGTTTTCTTATGGTTGTTAATCCCAAAGAGAATTAGTATGCTTGTAATTCAGAAGCTTTGCTTTATTTAGAATCACATGGATGCTTCATATTACATTTTGACGCATTTTTCTTGTGTAATCTATTACTCACCAACAGTTACATGTGTTTTGTTGCTTGTGTATAATCTAATTTTGTGCCAGTGTGATTTGAATTATTGTAGATATTTATGTATACTGCCTAATCCATGAACGACCCTTTTTTTCCCTGTGCAGAAATTTGTTTAATTCCTTCGATACTAGGGAAGGGTGACTCGATTTCAACCAGTTTGTAAACTTGTATATTGATGGAAATTCATTAGCTTCTTGTTGTATGTAATAAATATTATTTATTTTAAATTATTGGATTCAACAATAACACAAGCTATCATGTTGACTCTTTTTCACTCTCATTGTATGTATATCGCCATGCTAATTGAATATTTCCCTGGTTTGTAATGTGATGCTGAATATTAGTTATTTGCAGTTAAGATCAACTAACTTTTTCTTGATTGTACGATCACTGTTATCACGCACACCATATATATATGGTTGAATATTAGGTTCCTTCTCTATAGACAATATCCTAAGTCCTGTGAGATAATGTTTAATTGACATTCATCTTGTGTATTGTGTATAAGTTCAATGCTTAATTATGGAAACATTATGGATTTTGACTCTTGTAGTTTCTTAATATGCATCACGTGCAACGCACGTATAGCATACTAGTTTTAAAAAGCTCAAGGATGAGTAGAAGCATTAAATTAAAAAAATATGATATATTAATGCATTATTGATTAGTGGCTTGATTCAAACCAACATTTTGTTTCGTGCCGATCCAAATTACTCATATTTTTATAAATCGCAAACTCTTTGAAAGTTGTATGGTTCATAAGAAAAATGTTGTAATGTGTCACACCAATATCCGTATACCTATAATTTACAAATGTCCTGTTTTTCCGGTTTTTCTCTATATGAGAATCGAACCCAAGATCTTGAAAGTTATATTGGAACCCCTTCACTTTTCATAATTTTATTTATGGGTGTGGTTGGTTTGTAATAGCTGACACAATCAATACTTTGCTATATCATGTTATTCTAGCAGAATATAGCTACCGTTGGAGCGTTACAACTAGGGCTGCAAAACGGTCTGAATATGTCAAATCCAATTCACAACCATATTCGAAACAGATGCGAATATGGTATCTAAAATTTGAAACCCAGATAAGAATATGATTTCAGATATGGTTTCGAATTTTTGGTCGGGCATGGTTTTAGATACACATATTGGTTCAAAATTTTGATATAGTATAGATAACCGAATTCAGATAGATACTCAGATATGAATTCAGATATATATTTTATATATGAATCCAGATATATATATATATATATTGAAATTTGAATATTCTTGCAACAAGATGCTACCCCAACCAAATCTATCCATGCGAACAAATCTGAAACTGAAAGTCTACTTCCAAGTTCTCAGCATTTCTTTTCGGAAAATAATTTTGAAAAAACATAAAATAATATTATCCCCAATTAAAAAAATCACTGAAAGAGTGAGGCGTAGGCCCCCGCAAGGCCTCAACCCAAATCCATTTGCCCTCCTCCCATTTCCCTCCACCCTGTCTGCTCGCGTGTCGTCCTCGCGTGCGCGCCCAATCCAACCGAAAATGGAC